TGACCCCCTGCAGCCCCCCCCAAGCCACGCCAGTACCTGGCACTTCATGAGCATGTTGAAGAACTCATCCCCGGGCTCCTGGGCGTCCCCCTCCACACGCAGGTGCCCCAGGTTGTTGTGTGTTATCCTCAGGCCTGGCAGGTTGCCCACGTTGGCACGCTGGTCATCCAGGCGCCTGCTCTGGGAGCTGGCAATGAGGTCGAAGAACTCCTCGGTCTGCGGAGATGCCATGAGGGAGGCGTGTGCTGGGAGGGGGGGAGAGGAGCACAGGGGGGGGTCACGGCCTGGCCTGGGCTGCAGGAGCCCCAAATCCCTGTCACCAGCCCCCTGCTCAGCCTGCAGGTTGAAGCCCCGCTGCCCAAAGCTCTGCCCCCCCTGCTGCAGCTCACAGCTGCCTTTCCTGGAGGCCGGTGCAGCCCTTGCTCCCCACCTCCCCAAAAGCCCCTGGGCTGCTCCAGCCCCCCTGCTCCAGCAGCTCACCCACAGCAGGGTGCTCAGGATCACATCCAGCTGGGTTTGGAATCTGGAATCTCTCCAGAGGAGACTCCACAACCTCTCTGGGCAGCTGCTCCAGGCTCGGGCACCCTCACAGCACAGAAGGCTTTTTCTTCCTGTTCAGATGGAACCTCCTGGGTTCCAGTTGGTGCCTGTTGTCCCTTGTCCTGTTGCTGGGCACCATTGACAAGAGTCTGGCCCCATTCTCTTGACCCCTCAACCTCTTGATCAGCATTGATCAGATCCCCTCTCAGTCTGCTCTTCTCCAGGCTGAACAGCCCCAGGATTTTCCAAAAGGAGGAAAAGCAGGTGCCTCGACAGGCTGAGGAGGAGAACCTCACACAAACATCTCCCACCACCAGACTGCCTTGCCTATTGACTGTTTGGGGCAGCTCCTGGAGGTCACCCAAGAGACCCCCTCAGCCCAGCAGATCCAATACTCTCACATGCCCAGGCCTGGCTAAGCCACAGCCAGTGGCACATCCTCCCCAGGGCCCTCAAAGCCCCAGGGGAAGCTCTTTTTGGGCCAGTCTCAGGCAGAGGTGAGTGAGCCCTGCAGCTGCTCCAGCTGCCCAGAGCTGCAGGACCCGACTGCACAGGACCAAAGGGGGATTCTCAAATGATGCCAGGACCTCAGCAAAGCAAAGGGTCCCCCCCAGCCCTGGAAACACCTCTGGGGCAGCTGAGGAGGAGCTGCTGGCACCTGGCAGCTGCCAGGCACTGAAAGGCTCCCAAGCAACAGGCACTGCACTCAGGCCACGGATGAGAAAAGAAAAGAAACCCAGCCTGGCTGGTGTGACCATCCCTGAGAGCACAGAGCCCTGGAGCAGAGGGTGCCTCCAGCCTCCCAGCACGACGAGCTCCTTTCAGAGCCCCAGCTCCTGGAGCTGCAGAAACACACAAAAATCTCAGTGCTGACGCAAAGATGGATTTCTTCCCCTTCAGCTCACAAAGAAACCTTGAAAATAACACATCTGAAAGGCTCCGAGAGCCAGTGAGAGCTGGCCAGAGAATGTGCCTGCTTGTATATTCTTTATAAAGCTTTGTATTTTAAACTCAGCCTCCTAAATTACAGAGCTGCTACAGCCAAACACACTCAGTATCAGAAATGTGTATCCTGAAAAAGTCATGTCCAGCCTATTTTTAGAAGACAAACTCCTGCTCACCTCCTGGCTAACCTGCCTCCCAGCCTCATCCTGCCCATGCTGCTCTGCTCTCACTGCCAGCCCAGCCCCTGCTCCTCTGAGCAGCCTCCTGCTGCAGCTTTTGCCACACTCAGAGGGACGTCAGGGGTCTCCATGTTCATTTGGAAGCCACTGAACAGACCCATCAGTTCAAACGAAGTGGTGTGAGCCCTTTGTGATGGAGTTTAAGCACATAAATGTGACCTGCAGGTTTTTGTGCTCCTCTCCAGCTTGTTTTAAACAAAGGGATCAACACCACAGTGTGAAGAAGACCTAACAGGGGAGCCCAAGCCCAGAGCTGAGCTGCCTCTCCTCTCCTGTCTCTGTCAGCCAGCTTCCTGCACCCATCCCTGCCCCTCCTACAGCTGAGTGAGCTCTCTGCCTGCCCCAGCTCCCCCGTGTTTATCCAGCCTGCCTCCTCTATGACACCCATCACCGCAGCATCCAGGAACTGTACAAAATCCAGAAGTTTTTTTCTCCATGGCAACGCTACGTGAACAGCTGGCAAAGCTTCAGCTGGCCTGTGCAAGCCTGTCCCAGCTCCCAGCCCCTGCTGAGCCCCAGCTCCCCGGGCTCCTGCAGGGCTCCCTCAGTAACCACCAGCAGCATCTTCCTCCCGGGGACGCTGCCCGAGGCAGCCTCCTGCCAAGCCCACTGTTCAGAAGGCCAGGCTGTTAAAAAAGCCACGTTGAAAAAAAAATCCAAGTGTATTTCCCATTTCTTTTGCTGATTTCCTCTCCAAGCTCTAGTTCATACTCCTCAGCCTCTCCCTCAGCAACCGTTAACACGTTTCTTCCTTCCTTAATGACCGAAGCAGCCAGAGAACTGCCAAGCTCAGCGAGCTGAGGCTGGGGGGGAGCATCTGCAGGCTGCCAGGAGGGACGGAGAGGGGTGTGGGTGCTCACCTCTCCGCTCCCCCAGGGCAGGGACAGGGGTGGCAGCTGCCTCTGCAGCCTCCGAGGGGCACTCCTCCAAGGGGCAGCGCTGATCGTCCATCCGGTTGCTCTGGAACTTGCTCAGCAGGTCAAAGAAACATTCCTCATCCGAAGGGCTCCGGTTGATTTTCTGGAAAGACAGTAAAAGCCAAAAAAAAAAGGTCAGAATGCCCCCAGCAGCTCCCTGTGTCCTGTCACTCCCTCCGGCGTGGCCTCTGCTCAGAGCCACCTCCTGGCTGTGCCCGCTGGCCAAGCCCTGGAGCCTGCTGGGCTCCCTGCTCCTTGGCCCCTTTGTCCTCCTGGCTCTGAAATAACCTCTCCCTTTTTTGCACTACCTGACACCACCCCCCTCGAGGACCACCACAGAGGTCCCCCCTCCTGCAGGGAGCCCTGCCTGGGAGAGG